TTATAAGAAGTAAACGGGAGTGAGGCTTGCAATCGGTCGAGTGCTCAGCGCGTGGCAAATTTAAAATAAGGAGCACCATTACTTACTTATTATTCTTAAACAGTGTGAAACAAAGGTTTTTCACTTGTGTTAAAATTTGGTAATGAAGCATTTAAAGAAATCGCCAGATTCTAAAATCTCCTGATGAAGTGTAAAACTTCAGCAACTTTAGTGTTGCAAACTGTAGGTTTAATTCAATACTAAAGTTAATGCACTTGCTCTCCCAGGATATTTTCTTTAGTCTGACTGGTTAGCACTGGTAACTACAACTCAAATAATTGGGTTTTCACCCGTCTGATTTGACTTTTACTATATTTATGGCAGCTTTATGGTTACTCCCCACCTTCGGAGACCGAAAAAATCGATTTTTATTTTATTTGACAAAGCTGAATTCGAACATTCAACCTAACGTTTTCATAAAAAAATTTCTGAAATCTTAAAAAGCACCCAAGTTATTTAGAAAATCGTATTTCCAAATAAAAGTTTATAAATCAGAAACTTGTCATAATCTCGGACCTGGGCGAATCCCCTGGGGTAATTTTCGCGGCAACCGCTCATGTTGGGGCTCGATTTTCATGTTATTTCCATATTTTGCTCACATCGTACACTTTACAGAATTCACGCGTGGGAGCTCTTTGTTCAAAATATACGAAATATGGAATATGGAAAAATCTTTGTTCATGGAAAAATCAAAAGCGGAAGAAGACTTGTAGTGGCGGAGCTCTACGCCGGCGTCCAGATTTCGAACAGAGAAGTCGCCGTCAAACAAAAATTTGCCAAACATGATGTTAAAAACGAGGTTTCCTTTTCTTTATGCAAGTACCATATCGAGATCAAAAAAAAAAAAAAAATGCGTCTGCAATACACGTTACTTTTCCCGGGAAATCTTGATCCATCGTGATTGACGCCAGGAGATCCCATTGTACTATTGGTTTGCGGTTTCAGGAGGCGAGATAGTCTCCTGGCGTGGCGTGAGTTGTTTGCAAACCTTTATGAACTAAAATCTCGTATTTGATTTTGGGGGAATACAACCACTTTGAGCGAATTTATACGGTATATAGATTTAACTGGTTTTCGTCAAATTTCGTCAGAATATCCCAGGAATAATGGCAAACGAAAGTGTGTCGGGGAATGTTGGTATTTTAAATATTTGTCGCGTGGCATCCATTTGCGCAACACGACTAGCACATTTTTTGCTACTCCAACTTTAGATGCCAATATCTCGATAAACAATCAGAATATCGAACAAGCGTGACACACTTTTGTTGATTGATGCCTTGTGAATAAGACTGTGCAGCCTGCTTGTGCTGTGGCGTCTGAAACCCGATAAATTAGATAGAAGAACCTTCGGTCGTTTCACGGCTTACCGGCCCCTGACACTTCCTTAAAGAAAAAAATCGCTTAAATTATATTTTCATCGTAAACTGCAGTTTTTAAGCTTTCTTCTGATAAATAGTTTGCTAGAATTTTAGTGAAACTAGCGCGCGTGCGAAGTTTTCACGAAGGACACCCGCGAAGGTGAGAAGTAACCTTAATTTAAGGTAACGGGTAAAAACAGAAAGTTTGGCCTTGTGTGAGAAATCAACTCCAGCAAAGGGACAGGCTTTTGGGGACCAGTCGGAGTCAAGCATTCTAATGGAGTGCCCTAAAATTAGAAATTAGATTATTAAAATTATTAAATTAATGTTATTATCCAATGTCTGTCAAGATAGATTATTAGAGCCACACAGGAGTCCCTCTCGCGAAGGAAGTAATTTATGCCATATTTTACACATTTTGCAGATATCTCTTTAATTCCGAGACAAAGTTCTGTCGGTTAAACAAACGTTGCACGTGCTCTTTCGCCTACACAGGCATATTGTATAAATCACTGAGGAACTACGTATTTACAGGTTTGTCTAAATTGTTTCTCTAGCTTAGCAATTGAAAAGGTGTAAGGGAGCGACTACATTGTACTTTTGTATTATGGGCTTTGTTATGTCGGCTAGTTTGGAAAAAGTTTCGTGTGTACCTATGTTTTCCTTTTTCTTACCGGGTTGTGGTCTGAAGCGCTACATTCCAAAAGGGAGAGTGTATTGAATTAACTGCATCGTTTATACATATGTAGAAAAGCCTCATAGGAAGTATCAAAACAAACATTTTTTGGGAAATGGATGGTTATCAAGTGTCTAGTTGCGCAGTAACGAAAAATAACATCAACTCAGTAATTGCAAAAATTACTACGAAGACCACTGACCAAGCTGAATCCTGTTTCAAACTGTATTTTCGTTTCTCTCAAATGGATGGGATTCGAGATGCTTAGTTTAGTATTCTTTGGCCACTCGACGGAATTTGTAATTCGCAATTTGCAAGCTGAGAATAGAAAGAGCCATCCAGCTGTAGTGGTTTTAACTCTTGACATCTCTTTCGAGCTCCAATCTTAAAATATTCTATTTGCAGAAAATTCTGTCTAATACTGCTTTCACCGCCTGACGGATTTCGCGACTTTTCCAACAACACACCAATGGATTTGTGCACGAG